AGGCTGTCGCAGCCGAGGCTGGTCCTGGATCAGATGTGAATTAACCTCCAAATACAGCTAAAATATAAAGGTGCCCTTTCTGTAGTCTCACTTCAAGTCCTTAATTCTGCACGGTGAACCACTGAAAGCAACAGCAAAGCCCCTTGGACCTCAAGGATACAGAATTGGGTCCTTCAATGCTCATCCTACAGTGCCCTCTTGTGGCCTCCTGTATTTATTCGTTTCACTTTCACTTTTAATTTGCTCCTTCATTTCAGATTTCCAGCTCTGGTCAAAATTTGCTCCATCCCCGTGAATCTGGCTGTTTAAAGAACCAGTCAACTGCTGGATTTTGCCTTATTTTTCATTAACGGCCCAGTGCTATTTTGTTCTTTGCCAGATATAAAGCAATCCGCTAATCCAATAATTGGGTAGTTCGTGCAAGTTAAAATAATACTTTTGTTTTCTCTCGCACAGTTGGAGCATTTCATTCCTGGCTTATCTTCCCTGCAGACCTGAGTTAGCAACCTGCAGCAGTGAAGGGACAAACTATGCACTTTTGTGTATATAACTTCACGTTACACTCATAGACTGAATTTCATCTTCTGTCGTCTGCCTCCCCAGAGAAGGTCATAGGTGTCTATACTACCCTATACGGTCAAATCACTGATCAGTTTGAAGGGGTGTAGGTTGTAGCCGTGTTGGTCTAAGGACATCGGCAGACAAGGTTCTTTGGGTGAGTCTGATATCTTTTATTAGACCAACTTAAATAGTTGGAAAACAATTTTAAGCAAGCTTTCAGGTTTAAAAACCCTTCGTCAGGCTGAGGAAGTTTCTGCAGTCGGTGTGTGATCAGTTTGAACGCACTGATCGTGGTCAGGAGCCCAGAAGCATTTCTGCCTCTTAAGATAAAATGCTCAGTGATTGTTAGACAAAAAACATATCTGCTCACCTTAACATGTGGGATTGCAAACTTTCCCTTGCTTGATTTCCCCCACTTCCATATTTTTTGACAAAAGTTTGCGGAGAGAACACTTTGCTCTGAATCAATGGGAAAAAATATTAGACAAGTGAGAATAAAAAAAAAAGGATTAATTCCATTCAAGTCAAGGAAGAATTTCTTTTGTTTTATGTCAATTGGGAAAGGATTCCAAATAAAATAGTTATTTCATTGAAAAAATTATAATGTTTCGGTAAGGCAAACACTTTCAATGAGAACATTTTCATAAAAAAACTTCTTTATAAAAAAACCCGATGACCTCAGATTAAGATCTTCTTGCACTGTCTCATTGTCAAGGCTCTGGGTCAGAGATTAGAAGAAACTTGTCCTCTTCTTACCAAAGTATCTCAAAGTACCTCAAAAGAGAAGCAATTATGGCTATGGCAAATCTGTTTTTAATTTTGGATTGGAGGCTTCTGGTTGTATTTTTATAGTGTTTTCCCTGCTCTTCTTATATCTTCATCTTGAAACCTAGAGAAAGTTTACATTCAGTCACAAGAAATTACTATATGCCGAACAATGAATTTGACTACCTGGTCCTGACTGAACTGCAGCGCTACAGGTATGTGTTAGAAAAGCAGGTGATAACTGAATGGATATACATAATCTAAGGCATATAAGGAAAAAAATGCAATAACTATTCATATTGGAGTACTAATCGTGCTTATCGAAATGTTTGCCAACTGCAGGTTTCACTGCTAAGAGCTGAACCATCCAAGGCAATTGAAGCACTCCTATTGACGTCAGCAGGCTGTTCATTATTTCCCAACTAAAACTGTGTGATTTAACTATGAAGTGGAGATGCAGTTGACCTGTTCAGCCTGCATTTGTTGGCATGTGACTTTGCCCATGACAATGACAGCTGTGGAGAACTGGGGGAATGCTGCTATTATGGAAACATCTTATGGCCCGCTCTGTATCAGTGCGATAGAGCCCTGCCTGAGAGCCAAGTTAGAGCAAACCCGGGTGCGAGGAAACCAGACACGAGACACTACAAGAATAGCAAGACAAGGACCATCACCGTAGACATGGTAGCAACATATTTAGCTATGAAAAGGCAAATCTTCAGTTGCAACCCTGGTGAGAGCTATTCGGCCAATGTCAGGAAGGGGGAGATCTTTCCGCTCCGACTGATTGACAGAGCAGGACTGAGAGGCAGGATTTGCCGAAGGCAGGCTTTGACTTGGTCCCCATGAGAACCAAGGACACCAAGGCTAAGTCACGTCTCCTTAGACGCCTGAGGGGAATGGCAAATGTAGGGAAGGCTGTGCGTGCATAAGGCTCAATCCTTGTCTGAATGTCTTGTGTCCTCAGGCAAAATAAACCTACTTTCATTTTGAAGAAGCTGCTTCTATGGCCCTGCCGGGCTGCGGGTGCCAAGCCTCTTGGCTGTTCCCTGGGACTCGACAGCCAGGGGCGGGGAGGAGGAGGGCATAACCAAGAGGTTCAGTTAAGAACAGATTGATAACAGGATCCCACCCTAAAAAGAAATGAATGCGTAGGTCAGCTGCTTTAACAGAAGGTCTGTGATGGGGAAGGGCAGTGCCTAAGGAAGTGTCTTGGGGGAAAGGGTCTCAGACTGACAAACGGATAAGGATTACCCCACCAGGAATCCCCATGTGTGCCGTAAATGCAGAGCGTGGTGCCTGAAAGTGCTCTGTATGCATGATCAGTAGCCTAGCAAGGGGTGGGCAAAGCAGGCACCAGCTGCTTAGATGGGGCACAGAAGTAGCAGCTACCACTGCTACCAGCCCCTGGCGCTGCCACCACCCAGGTACCGACCTGGTAGTGACACCTCTGCTTACAATAACACTGAAGGCTAACGCCTCATTGTTGCCAAGATCTTTCAGAAAGCATTTCTCTTGATAACCATGGCCTGGTAAAACCCGTGCAGTTTTCAAAGTGCGAGTCAGGCCCTTTCATTCAGCAGAATTTCCTGGTTTAAACAGAGCGAGATAGCGCAAAGTGACCACTGGGTGTGGGGTTCATTCTTTCAAAGGGAGGGAAAAAAACCTCTGTAAACGTGCAATGTAAGACTATCCACCATGCGCTGTTATCATGTGGGGCTTTCTTGGTGAACAGCGCTTGATCATGATATTGCATTGCAACCGATCGTAAAACAGAGACAATTTTCCACTACTGGAAATAATAGGAAAACACTGGTGCACTCGAACATGTCACATCACCTCTCGAACGGGTGTTACACGTGGGGAACAAGGCTTTAGTTGTCTCATCTGCTGAGTTTTATTTCTGACTCAGAAGTTCAGTAGCACAAATGGTACCGCTAAGTCAGGGCTACCTCTCAGTGTGGCATCCGGTAGATCAAGGAGGGAGCATGGAACGTGGTGGCACATAGGGCAGGGAGCAGAAAGCAGAGCAGCAAGTCAGCACAGGCCTGAGGGCAGAAAACAGAGCAGCAGGTCGGGAAGGGGATTGGAGTGGGGGAGGGTGTGGAGTAAATTTGTGCCATGCTTGCCAAAAAGGTTGGTCCCCATGTTACTAAACTATCTTGGTTACCTTTTACATGCACTCATGGATCAATCGTGGTACAGACATTTCCAACTAAACATCTCCCCTATGGATTTACTTAGTGTCTGGGTGTTGATGGTTTGCAGAAAGTCAACTTTATTTTTACTTTGTTGCTTTCTGACTTGCTGCTGAGTCCTCCTTCTATCCTCAGATGCTCTAACTGCTCACCCATTGCACAAGGACGAGGACATGTTCTGTGTGCTGGATGTTTAAAAGATCAGGCAAACATTTCACACATGGTACAACAAAATATTATGAGGTAATTTTATTTTGTTTTCCATTTTTAGGTAAAAATATGACAGTATACAAGATAATCTTATTAAAGGTAAAAATACATTATTTTGTTGGTTTTTTTTCTCTAAACAGATCTACCTACAGTACACTTTTTTTTTTTGTTTTTTGTTTTTTACAAATATAACTATTATTCTATTAGGCTATCTGTGTTCTCATCTGGCACTTAAGATCTGGTCACAGGTCACCTTCTGGTCCTGCTTATTTTTCTGAGCTGATATCTAAATATAATGGTCAGCCTATAGGTGCGCCTTGTAAACAAATAATACAGTTTAGTGGTTCCAAAGTAGTAAGGTGTGCTTTCAACAGCTGAAATCCATAACATCAGCTAAACGAGAAGCAACTGAATATTCAGCTGTGTTGTGTGGACTGATCGCTTTTCACTTGCAAGAGTGCAATCTGCAATCACATTGAGTCACTGGTTTTAATTTCTCCTTGTTTTTGAGCTGAACACACAACTCACAGCAAACCATTCAGTTGGCAAATACCCCTTTGTGCTGATGGGATGTCCTTCGTCAGTGAGATTTTATTTTTTTTTTAATTAACGCGTTTATGGTTTGAAACTATCCAACCGTGCGCCTGTAAATTTCATTTACTCCGTGGCTTGCCATTTGACATCGCAAATTTGAGCTGAGTTGCTTCATTATGATTGGTCACATAGTGTTGTTGCTCTTCTTTGAATTGGATGAGTTAACTCTTCCCATTAAATCTCTAGGACAAATACTCCTGGGAAGAGTAATTGAGAGGACCGTATTTTAGTGTGTGACTTTACATTTGCTTTTCATTAACTACAGCGCTATTCAAATTCAATTTTACTGACGACCATGAAAAGCAAACAGAAAAGGAGTGTGCACACATATGGGAATGGGACTATGTTTGAAAATAGGAATGGGTATTCATGGAGCGCTCTTCAGCAGGCTTCATCCAGCTCTAAACCCAAGTGTTGGTGAGTCAGATCCCCAGGTGGTATAAATCAGCATAGCTTCATTGGAGCTATGTCAGTTTATACCAGGTGAGCATTTGGCCCTTTGCCTTTGTAAAAGGTGCTTTGGGTATCTAGAATAACCATGATTATCTTTTGGAGATGGTGCATCTACATCTGATGTCGATGGGCTCATTTTTATACAGATGTGTCCCCTTTATATCATAAAGGATTTATATGAACATTGGCTTCATCCAATACCACAGTCTAATGCACAGTGCCCCTACCAATATTTGTTAATTAGCAAAAAGTTGAGTGTTCAGTACTCATCTCTTGCAGTGTTTTTGCTCTCTTAAAATGCTGGTTGAAATATCAAATAAATGTTTAGAAAACTAGTCAGCTTTCCCTTTCTTTACCCTCAAATGTCCTTATTTAAGTTCTTCCCAAACTTTTCACTCAGCTGTTGTATTAGTCTTGCCAGCTCTCCAGTGGCTTGTGATTTTTCTTCCAAAAGTTCATAGCGGAGACTGGAAATATCTTGCTTAATCTCTTTAAGTTCTCCTAAAAGAAAAAAGATATATGTAATCTTGTTAATAAGGTTGAATTATACCAGTCCTGGTATAATTAATTCCTAAGAACAAGTTAAGTTAGGAGCATAACCTATGGGATTGGAATGAGTTGTGTTGGAACTGAACTGGCGTTCCAGCTCTAATAGTAGCTACTCAGAACCACACTGCAACATACTGAATGAATCAATTATGAATTACATACTGAACTAATCACAGTATTAATCACATTGCTGACAACAGTCCTATGTAGAAAGTTCCTGTTCTTTCTAAAACCTCTACTGTTCCACTTAAAAGTCTCTGTTTTACCTTGGAACCTTTTTGGGGATTTGGAGAAATGATGCTTTGAGCCTGTGCTATATAGCACTCTACTTATTGTGAATAGGAAACTATATATCCTTTCTACCTGAGGATGATTCAGACCAAGGTTTTGACAAGGGACCTTCAAAGACCCCTAGGGAGGCACTAACGTGCCATTAAGAAATATGGATGTACTTGAAAAACCTATATTCCAGGCAAATAAAGAATGGGATCATGTTATGAAATGTAGAAGGCTTAGCATATTACAGATACTAGGAGGAAGCCTTTCCTCCACTGTAGCCTCTGTATGACAGAGTCTAGGAGAAGAAGTCCAACAGTGCAGATACTGTGCAGGGCAGTCATAAGTTTCCCGTATACAAGTCCCTTTATAAGGTCCCATGGAGGGGATGTACCGGAGACTATGAGGCTGGAGTGGGTGGATCTATATGTACGGCAGGGCAGTTATCCTTGGCTGTGAGAGAAACTTGGAATTCCAAGTGCACACAGGTGGTTTGAAGCCACCCATGTCCACCTTCCCACTGTGAAGGTGTCTCCAGGAGCTTCAGCTAACAATCTCTGATTGGCCACAGCAGTTGTAGCTTAACAACACTATCATGTGACACGTTTCTCACAGTGGTCATACCATTATCAATAGTACAAACCACTTACCTTCATTGACTTCATCATTTTCTCGATCCACCTGAGCCTTCAGTACATACCGCTTAATAAGACGCTTCATTATTTTCTGAAAAATGAATCAAGATGGTTAAATGGGAATAGACTTGCCTACATCTCTGCGTTCTACATCTGTTAAGCACTGCTTAAGCAACTGAATTCACTGTGAGAGAAATCCTGGCTCCACTGAAGTTAAGTTTTGCAGTTGACTTTTGTCAGTATCCAGGTTTTTCTTCTTCCATGATGCACTTCATGTTACAGTAATGGGTTGTGCACAAGTAAGGATCCTAGATGAAAGTCATATTACAGCCTATTGTAGGACACGTGAATTTGGGAGCCTCTACTCAAAGAGTAAACAGATATGATCCAAGAGCAAGCTATGCATAAGGTCTGGTCTAGGTTTCTGGGGATCTTGGCTAGGCATGTTGCTGTTTCAAATATTTGCAGAAAGGAATCTTGAGAGAGGGAAAAAAGTTTCATTAATGACTTAGAATGCAACCACTTATGGTAATGGACCATGTACCTGATCCAAAGTTCATCAATTTCAGTAAAAAGAGTCATTTTCTCCGGTAAGCTTTGGATAAGGCTTTAAGGAGAAATAGGAAACCCAGGCCCTTGGCACACATTAATTCAAAGGACCATGGGCTCTGACCCTCGATCTCAACGATTGTGCCTCCTGCCATACCACATATGCATGGCAGGAAGCACAATTGTGAAATCACTGATCAGATCCCAGTTGCATCTATCATCTTGCCAGTGCAGAAGAAGTTGGGAATCATGATCCCAGGCTTTCTCTGCACTGGCAAATTGAAAGCCAGGTGCCTGCAGCCCAGCATAACTCAATACCATCCTGGGGCCAAAAAGGACCAGCAGCTGGCCTCAACCCTGGAGAGCCCAAGATCTAGTTCAAGATTGGGGGCTGTCTGGGCCAGGACTGAAAAACCACTTAATTGTCAGATGATTGTTAACACTGGGCCTGGGGCAGTTGGAAACCAGGGCTGTCTTAGGCTGGTGCTGACAGTGTTGTCAGCAGGCAGGTTGGAGACTGGGGATATCCAGTGCTGATTTCAACAATCAGCTGATTATTAAGCATCAGCCCCAAAGAGCCCTGATGTGTGGACACATCACATTTTCAATTGAAGGCTCCTTACAAACCAGCCATAAGAATGTTCTACATTATATGAGAAATGCTTTTATGGATGGTTTGCCATTTTATGGTACCTTAAATTGGGTGCATGTGTAGCATCCTTGCCATTTATGTTGTGATAAATGGGTTAATTGCAGCATAAATGTAATGTGTAGAGGGCCCTCAGTGAAGGACCCTCAGAAAAATGGAACAGAGTTAGAGAAGTGGATTAAAATGAATAAGAATTAGCTTAGAAAAATAGTATGAACTGATTACATCCAAGGAAAAAAAAATACTACATAGAAATATGAAAGAGGAGTTTGCTGGTTAAAAAGAAATAAAGAAATATATGAGTATGATATGCAATGTTTGTAATTATGAGCTTGCAATGTGATGCTGTTGCAAAAACTCAGAAGGCCTGCGGATCTATCCACAGAATAAAAAAGGAGGATAGTCTCTTTCCTAGGATACACTCAGAGTCCTGTGTTGTTTTCAGATCTTTACTATGCAAAAGACATTAATAAACTGCCCTAAAAATAATCTAAAGAATGGCAATATATCAAAAGGAGTAAACGAAACTACCTCTCCAAAATGAGGCATCTAAATCTGTTCTAGACACCTAAATTACGGCTTTGGGTAAAGCGCTTGGTTAATATACTCAGTCAAGTTTTGAAAGGCTCAGACAGATTGGAGATGTACAGATACCCACTTGGAAGGAATATTCTAATGCAATGCGGACTGAAGGGACATGATCAGGCCCCCCTCTTGCTTTGCTCCTTTCAATTCTGCCACCGATGGTGAAGTGAAGCTCACCACCAGCTGGAACACGATACAGGGTCCAAATTACATGATTGAGTCCATTCAATATTTTTCTTCTCTTTCTCTAGGGTTTCTGGATCCTGAATCTTTCCTGAGATTAACTGAGAACGACGCACCATTAGCCTTCAAGAATACCTGCCCTGACTGCTACTTATTGAGCATCCAGCGACTATGGAGGGAAAACTTTCTCTCTGGTCCAGGCTCACATTTTGCTTTAGATGTTACTAAGAAACTTAGTATCAGGGCAGGGGGGCAGACTTGATGATCTGTTCAGGTCCCTTCCGATCCTAGAAACTATGAAACTTTCCAAAGTCTCTGAAACATCCAAAAATCCAGGTTTCCCTCATGAGAACTACATTCTATAGTAACATAAGGCATGTGAATGACCAATAAATATCTGGTTACTCATATATATGCTTTGAAGTAATGAAAAGTGAAATATTTAAGGACTGTGTCTTCCTACCAGGAGAGAGATCTGGCTAACCAGGTGGGTCAGATAAGGAAAGTATACATGAGCCACAGTGCACGTACTGTATGCTGGAGATGGCCAAGGTAGTAGAATCCAGAGGGAGGTAGTGTTGCCACCTGAGAAAACATAAATGGAGGAACATTTTGGGGAAAGTGGGGAAAGGCTGGATCCAAAAGAAATAACTTTAAAAATAGGAGATGGAAATAGGGAAGTCACAGAAAAACAAGGAATCAACACACAATTCATGCTATTATCTTGGCATTTACCATAGCATAGCATAGCATTTACCTGCACTGACCACAATATTTGCTGGTGTGCCAGTATTTGCAATGGGAAATGCTCCCAATACGGTGGTAAAGTTCAGTTTCAAGTGGCAAGGGTGAAGATTGTCATGGCGGCAACTACACCAGGACATATGCTGTAGTAAGATTTGTCTGTGGATATTGAAAACCAAGAACATGATGCATTTTGGCCAAGATTCTGTCAGGGGAAGATCACTTTCTGGGCTTTGAGACATTCGACTGTATTTTTGCCTTATTGGTGTATTGTAGCCATTTAGTTTTGCATGCCCACTTTCCTTCAAATCTGCTACTTTTTCTTTTCCTTTTGTGCTAGTGTAAGTGAAATGGTTTTTCCATAACATAGTTACTGGCACAGTGAAATTAAAAAAAAACACCTGGCTCAAATTTCCAGAAGTATCTATTGATTTGGGGTGCTTGGTTTGAGGTGACTTAAGGCCTGCCTTCCAGAAAGGGCAGCACTTTGCAGTTAAAAAACCTCCAGTAACCCCACTCCTGCTGGCTTCTGGCCTGATGCACTTCAGGCATGTAGCTACGTTTCTGGAATCAAAAGTGAATGTCTGTTCATTTGCTTATTGGTTCAATCTACACAGCTTAGACTAGCCTATGAAGATTAAATCGATTCAGCCTTAGGTTTTTTGACTGTTTGTGATTAGACAAGGTGATAAACTACTTGTAAATCACTACCTTGTATTCTGAAATCAGTCTCCTTTATGTACATATTGGCCCAACCTTCAAGTACTCTTTGTACCATCAGCTACTCTAGTACTTTCTGTAGATCTTGGCATGCTGGGAATGAGAATGAAAGGACAATCTTGTGTCAGGAGACTGAGATTTGTCAATGATATCCTAAATGCTTTTTAACTTTTGCTGGGCCTCAGTTCTGCATCTGTAAAATGGGGATGGTAATACTGTCACACATTGCAGGGGGCTGGTAAGATTAAATTAAGTGTTTCAGATATGCCCAGATACGATGGATCTCAACTGAGACACTGCTTACTCCAGGTCAAGAGTAACCAGAGGTTGTTACCATTTGATGGAGGTTCAGATGCTAGTTAAGGGGTCTCAGCTCAGCATATCAACCCACTTTGCCAAATCCATTGTCAATTTAAGGGCCCCACCTTGTCACCCTGATCATCAGACCCATGAACAGGCTTAGAGCAAGATGGGTGTTTTATACCCAGCACAAATCTGTCCTGTATTTTTCTGACAAAGCTCCTACATGCATCACCTGAGCTTTGCAAGTCACAGCCTGTCATTGGAGCTCTCAGACTTCTCGTTCTGCATGCCTTGGCCATTTTACATTGTCACAGCATTAGGGGCCTCTAAAATCCTCCAGAAAATTGCACTTATCTGCAGTATAGAAATATCTGCAGTATAGAAATATCACATTAAAAATCTAGCCATATGAAATGGCCAGGAGAGCAGCTACTGCATTAGACATTCTCCCAGGTGCACAAAACTGTTATCTGCTGGCTTGATTACTGAACTGATCTGTACTGTTTGTTCCCTCTGTAATCTATGCCATTGCCTCCCCTCCCCACCTTTTATTATTTTGACAATTCTTTCCTCAAACTTCAGACATTTTCAGCAATGTCCTTTGAGGACAAGTCTGGTAGAAACAGTGTGTTTGTGTGTGCATATATCTATATCTATATCTAGATAGATAGATAGATACAATCTCTCTTTATAAAATGGATCAGTTTTTCAGTGCTGCCTTTGGCATTAGTAGAGAGTTGCCTGGTAGAGGTGGGCCCTGACCTGGCATGACCCTTTGTCATTCTAACTTGAAAATAATAGCTTCTGTTGTTGAAAACCTAGAGAAGTAGTGTGATTGGCAGAATTTGACTTTTTTTTTTGTGTTCTCACCAGGTTTTTTAATTTATGGCAAACATGTCATCAATGGCAAACAGTATAGACAAAGAAACAATTACGCTGTTTTAAAGGAGAGGAGGGGTGTTACCACAGTTCAGATGAATCTACTGTAACTGTTTCATCTGTCCGCTCCTATCCCATTGTAACTGGAAGTTAAAAGAGGGCAGGTTACTCCTGAATGAAACAGGGAGGCTTATCGTTACGTACTCCAGGATAGGGGGGACAAATGAAACGGTTGCAATGGAACAGCTGATAGGACTCCAAAGCCTCCTCCTTTAAGACAATGTCTGTTCACACCCTCAGTGATTTAACAGTCTAAGTCATTTGTAAAAGTGCAACTAAGCTACCTAAATTGTGTAGGCCTGGTAATGCCAAAATACTTCAACAATCTGGTTGTTGGGTACTTATGGTCCAAATTTTAGGTGCCTAAAGTCCTGAGAGGGGTTTACCAAAAAACTTCAGTGTCTATTGGAATTAGACACTTAAACCAATGGGAGTTAGGGACCTAAATGCCTTTTAGGGTCTGGGGATAAGTGCTTACAGGCATGTCTGCACGGTGTCCACAGTGTGTTTGGGTTGTTCCCGAGGAAACCTTGTCCCTTCCATCCCACTCGCACACCAAACCCCGAGTGGCAGTGCTTAGGCTGCTCTGGAGGTGTTTCTCCCATAGTTACTCTCAAGGCTTGTTTTTCTCCACTGTGCCAGAGTGGTCTCTGGAGTTGCTACACTACCGTGTTTCCAGGTTTGGTATGTGTGTGCAGGAGCAGATGGGTGGGTGTGCATGGGAGCGGCTCTTCCGTACATGGTGCAGACAATTTAAGACATCTTTGAACACAGGTCCTATTGATTACCTATAGTGCCCCTAGGAGGCCACAGTGACTCATGCTGTACAAACTCAGAAAAAAAGCCAGGCCCTGCCCAGTGCTGAACATAGTACAATCACAGTTATTTATCCATTGCTATCCTGCCAAACAACTGCCTGCTAGGCTGTGCAAAGCTTTGGATCACTATTCGGATGCAGGGATGATTCGGAGGCCAAATCTACAAATCTGAATCGAATTACTGGAAGCTTTAGGATATAACTTTGTTATAGATATTTAATTGACTCCCCATTATACCCTATGGCTGAATCTCCAAATCTTTTCCGAATTGAAGCTTCAGAGCCAGTTCGGCCGAATCGAAGCAGAAAACCGATTTGGAGCTCTAAATTGAATCGCTGGCATCTGAATCAGCCGAATCTGCACCCGAATCGAATAGTTCCCTATTCGCACAGGCCTACTGCCTGTGTTAACCTTCTTTAAATGTCTTTGCCTTCAAGTATCTTTCAGATCATTCGTACATATTTGCTTAGTTGGGCAATCAAAGAAAAATTAAGGTGGAGATTTTGCTGGCGGAGTTGTGCTACTACACATGCAAAATCCACTGATTCCTCAGAAAATAAGTGTCCTAGTAGCATTGATACTCAGGGCATTACAAAACAATGACAATGGTGTTACTCCTGCCATGGGAAGAGTCACCCCTGCTATCGCCCCTCTCAGTTATTCTTCTAACACATCACATTGCGTGCTCTACTCATTGCCAGAGAAAACACATGAGCATGGTGGCAAAGGCATAGAGAGAAAGAGAGAGATGACGTTATGTCATGACAAAATGAAATGCTGCCAATGTGAGGCTATGTGGAGTATTTCTTGCATTAGGTTCAATGCTGCTGCCTGGATTTAACATGGCAACTGTGTTGGTGTTAAATGCAGCCGATATACCACCATGTTCTCTTAAGCTACTGTGAAGTGTTTTGGGCACAATCCCACCAGTGCTATTTGCCCTTCATTCCCTCTGATTTGGCACTGGTCATTGCTTGGCCAGTCACAAGATGGGAGCTCACTGTAAGTCAACAAATTTGATCTTTGCCAATAAGCCCTTTTCACTGCCAGACCTTTAGCTTTGCTCTTGCTCTCGTACTATTATTACCTGATATCTCGTGGGCTTGTTATAAGCATTCTTCCCAGAAAAATTTTCTGTGTTTCGCATGCTAGACAGAAAACGAATTTTCTGAAAGTATAAAACATGGTAAAGTATTAGAGTACTGACAGCTTCTCCTCCCTCAAATACACCAGGCTTAAAAAAAGGGCTTCCCCAAAGTGTTAGGAAATGCTTCATTGTGGGCAGCTTGAAGGTCCTGCAGAATAATTAAACCAGCATCTCCAACATGCAATTAATAGGTTGATTAGGGAAGGGGTGGGGGGAAGTGGAGGGAGATGACCCTCTGATTTCTCATGCACAGAAAAATTACTGGATGAGTTACTGGTCCTCACATTGTCCAAACAAAGAGTGCTTTGATTGTGTACATGACATGCCCCTTTGAGCATGTGCACGCTGCTGCAGCAAGACACGGTCCACCTGCCCACATGCACTCTGCCCCCAAGCAGAAGTGGTGTAACTGGTGTAGTGTGGCACTGGTGAGCACCCATAAGCTTTGGAAATGGTGTGCATGCAACTACCACAAAAAACCAACTACACCACTTTCAGCTGAGAGGTGGTGCATGCAGAGTGAATCTGGTGTATCTCACTGCCACTCTCCCCCTAGTACTAGACTGGGGCAATGTAACTATGATCTTTTGAACCAGTCAGCATTAAAAGGCAGAGCTTTGCTAATTATTCCAATAGTTTTGGTCTTTGGGACCAAGATTTGAAAATAACTTAAAAAAAAAGAGAGAAAGAGAGAGAAAAGAAAAATTAGTAATCTGACTCTATGGGTACTAATGAGAGTCATGAGAGCCTGCATGGAAATCTCCTACGGAGGAGACTGTTCAGATAACAACACAATTTGTTATTGGTGATCCAGCAAAAAAAACCTGTAGTATTCTTGCCGTTAAGTAGTATATGCTCTGTAATCACAATGGAGCTCTCAATTTTGGAAGCTAGAGATTGGTTTTGCAGTCCCTACTAGGGATAAGATATCAAGAGATTTGGCTAACTCTGTCTGTCCACAATATTTGTACCTTCTTGCTATTCAAATGCATGATCCATATAAGACATTTACAGATAAACAGTCTCAAAGGGCCAAATCCGGTCTCCAGAGCAGAATAGATTCATAGAAGTAGGTTCGGAAGGGACCTTGTAGATCTTCAAGTCTGACCCCCTGCCCTGGGCAGGAGAGAAAACTGGGCTCGTATGACCGCAGCCAAGTAAACATCAAGCCTCCTCTTAAAGACCCCCAAGGTAGGAGCCAGCACCAGACCCAGACCCCTGTGCTAGGCACCCAGGTTCCCTCTACAGTGCACGGAAAAAAACGGCACCTCAGAACGGGCTCTGAAATGGCCACTACACTGAGCTGGAAACCATCGATGTCAGCAAGCTCAGCTGGCAGCTGCCTACAAATGGAGAGCAAAGGGGTGGGCTGAAATCTTGGAATACAAAGCCTAAGAGTCGAACTTGGGGTTATATTATGAGAAGTACCTAAATGGTTTTAAGAGCTGAAGTCCCATTTTCAAAGCGACTTAGGTGCTGAAAATGTTCACCCTTAATAAATAGATATTAATGGCGGGTTAGGGCATTCCTTCATTATCTTTTAAGTCACCTATCCTTCCGGTTATTTCATTTCCCATTCCTAAAATACATGATTCTTTAGACTAAAAATGAACAGGAAAGCTGATCTACTAGAATTCAGTGGCCCCAACATGTCCGTCTACCCGGGTGGCAGGCAGTTTAAGAAGCAAACCAGTTAGTCGTGGCAATTAAAACCAGGGCCTGCGCAGCTTAGATTTTTAGCTTCTCTAGCCATACTTTGGCAGGTGATTGAATGCTCATCCTATGTAAGCGTGCTCTCTTAAACTTGCCTAGGGGAAATGCACTCTCAACAAGCACTGGGTCAGCTCTCTGCAATACCATTATTATGGGACAACGGGACTGGTTCCTGTGCTTTCATTGAGATAGGAACAGCTCCAAGCTACCCCGAGGGCAGACTGCAGTCCACAGAGGCAAGCCAAGCAGAGTCCTCCTCTGCGTCCCTCTGGCACACGCTCCCCTGCCTGTGTCTATGCTTTTATTCGTTCAGCACTTCCTCTTCAGTCGCTCTCTCTGTTTCCCTCTCACGGGGTGTCACCTTCTCTTCTGGGAGGACCTCATGGTACATCAGTGTCCCCGGTGGGGTTTTCTCTACCTCTTTTCAGCATATTCCTTTGATCTCAAACTTTTTCTTCTGCTCTCCCACTTGTTTTTCCACCCCCTCTCCTCCACTCTCTGCCTTATTTTGCCCCACCATTCATTTTCTTGGTCCCCATGGGACAGATAGGTGGTCTCTCTTTTGCTCTACCCAGCCGCTCCTTCTAGTCAGTTTAGGCTCTGTGAAGAAGCAGAAGCAGCTAACAGGCTTGAGTTCAAATGACCTGAAAAAAAATGTGCAGCTATACTCGGATTAAAATTTAAAATCCTGGTCTGATGTGCCTTCGAACATGCCTCGTGAATATTAACAACCCCCTTAGAAACTGCTGGCAGCGCTGCTGAGGAACATCACTTGAGCCTCCAGCATGGGAAGTGATGTTACCCCTTCCTCCCCACTCCTGCCAAACCCTAAAACGCACCTTTCCAGGGACCACTTCCCAATCTCCTTTTCCCATTTGAAACCCCACTTGAGCAGGGGAAATGAAAACCACGGCTAGTACAGTTTAAACAAAGCTGTTTCACTGCCTATTTCCGTTTGCTGGATTTGACGGCCAGGGTAGAGCAGCTGCAGCTGAATCGCGTGTGAAAAAGCTTCAGGCATTTCACTGTGAAGCAAGAGAAATGCCACGAGGGGAAGGAACAGATTTACTTTGGTGGGTTTTTCTTTTTTCTTTTTTTTGTAATTCCAATCAACTTGCCAGGAACATTTTGTCCCAATGACCCTAGGAACAGTCCTGAAAATAATCATTTCCACGGGAGAGAGAGCGCTCTCTGATTACACTGACACTTCTTTTTTTTCAGGGGCAAGACAAGCCAGTTCTGCTGGAGAGCATCTGATTTCTAAGACTGCGTGTCCTGTTTTATCATGCGGAAGCTCCTCAGTGCTTGGGAGGAGGCTCCTTCACCTCTCTGAAATGTGCCATTTGGCAAGCGGCAAATTTGTGCTTTCCCAAAGCACCCATCTATTCCAAAACAGCGAACAGGTGGCAGTTGAGGAAGCACCTATCTGTTTCTGTGCCTACCATTAGAGAGATGAAGGGGGACAGGTCAGCAATTGCAGCTTCAGGTCCTCGGGAGAAGTTAATAGTCCCTATCCAGACTGTGGCTCCCAACAAAGGTGCAATCAGACTTGGCAGGGAAATGCTGATTTTCACATAGTGACTATGAAATTGGTTTAGGGGGATGGTGAAAGGAAGCTGGACATAAAAGAGGCAGCATGGTCCGCTGGTAGATTAAAGTGAAGGAACCCGGCTTCTAGGCTTTGTTCCACCACTGACTTGCTGCCTGTGCCTTTGAATAAGTCACTTCACCAGTTTCCTATCAGAGTTTATATAGATTGTAAGTATTTTAGCAGGTGCTTGTAAAAAGAGGTCACAATTTTGGCTGGGCCTCTGGGGGTTGCTGTCATACAAATAATACAGAAAAACAGCTTTCACTAAAACACCATGCAGCCCTTTTGAGCTAAGGAGCCTTCTCCTATTGTCCTTGGAGAACGCCACGGTCCCCCGTCAAAGAACATGAACTGCAAAGAGGTGAGTGCCTTACCCGATGGTTGGAATTGAGCATGCCCATCTCGAGATCATTTTCACAGTTTTTGGCCTTGGATTTGCAGAGTTTTATGAGGCACATTTTGATTCTCATTATGAGATAATAAAAGGATTTGGGGCTTGGCACTAGGTTGAAAGGAGCAGGTAGAGTCCTTCCTTCGTCAAAGTATGAGAGCCATAGTTTGGCACGCGCAAACTTCCACTCCACATCTGCATCCTCCTGAAAGGGGGGAAAAAAAACAAGAGCAGCATCAGTATGGAGGTAGGAATATGCCAACGCTGTTCCACTGGCAGTGAGACTAAGGAGCAGAGACCACTTCGATGGACTGAGTACGAGTTTGGTCTCCCGAGGCCCTTCTCCCTGCTCCAATTTTGACGTGAGTAGATTGCTTATTAGGGCTGTGTGAGGCCTCGGACTGTGTTTTGGATCTGGAGAAGCTTCGGACGCTTCGGCATCCAAAGCAGCATGTCTGGATCGAAGCACTGGCTTAATTAGGCTTTCTGAAGCGGTTTGGAGCTTCCGAACTGTGTCGGAAAAGCTTCGGAGCCACCTCGGAGATCCGGCCATAGGGTATAATGGGGAAACAATAAAATATCTATAACTTTGTTTTTTGTCTGATTTAGGTGAAATTTGCAGGGGTGGTAGACTCTTCAGAGAGCATGAAGTCTGCCGTGTTTCAGGAAGATGAGTGCCGGGGTTTGGGGGGAACTGCACCCCAAATTCTTGAAAACAAAACTCCTGTCATGTCTATGTGTTACAACACAGGGGGGTACAAACTGCAGGGGTGGTGGCCCCTGCTGAGGCCACAAAGCCTGCCAGGTTTCAAGGAGATCAGTGCAGGGGTTTGGGGGAAACTGCACCTCAAGCTGCAGACAAGCAAAACTCGTGACATGGGTGACCCTGCGTGTGTTAAGGCACAGCAGGGTGAAAGCTGCAGGGGTGGTGGCCCCTGCTGTGGCCACGATGCCTGCCAGCTGTCGAAGAGATCGGTGCAGGGGTGCTGGGTTCTGGGGCCCTGCACCCCTAGCTGCTGACAGGCAAAACTCGTGACATGGGTGCTTGTGCGACTGTGTCTGTCTTGGGGCCTGGGAGACACTGCTGCAGGCCTGGCTGCTAAGCTACTGTGTTACCAGTTACCAATCAATCATGATTCACTCAGGGACCAGCTCAATAGGCACTTCCTAGCTAATGTAGCCAGTTAATTACCATCAATTAACACCTACAAAACCACAGACCAAGGAGAGGAAAGAATCAATACAGACAATCAACTGCCCCAAGACAGAGCCAGTCAGGTGCACAAGCACCCATGAACATGAGTTTTGCCTGTCAGCAGCTAGGGGTGCAGGGCCCCAGAACCCAGAAGCCCTGCACCGATCTCCTCAACAGCTGGCAGGCTTTGTGACCACAGCAGGGGCCACCACCCCTGCAGCTGTCACCCCGCTGTGCCTTAACACACACAGTGTCACCCATGTCATGAGTTTTGCTTGTCCGCAGCTTGAGGTGCAGTTCCCCCCAAATCCCTGCACTTATCTCCTTGACACTTGGCAGGCTTCGTGGCCTTAGCAGGGGCTACCATCCCGGCAGTTTTCACCCCCCTGTGGTGTAACACACAGATGTGACATGAGTTTTGCTTTCAAGAATTTGGGGTACAGTTCCCCCCAAACCTCTGCACCGATCTTCTTGAAACTTGTTCGACTTCATGCGCTCAGCAGAATCTACCACTCCTGCAAGTTTCATCCAAATCAGACAAAAAACAACAACATTTTAGATATCTTGTTGATTCCCCATTATACCCTATGGCCAGATCTCCAACGCAGCTCTGAAGCTTCGCAGCCGCTTTGGCTGGATTGAAGCAGAAACCCGGTCCGGAGCTTCGGATCAGATTGCTGCCATCCGAAACGGCCACATCCGAAGCCGGATTGGATCTCTGCCAACTCGCACAGGCCTATTGCTTATGTCTATATTGTTATGTGCATATTGTGCACCTAAATAACATTCTTCTGGAGTGTGGGGAGTTTTTTAGTGGGGCTTCAAGGGGGAAAGTGAAGTGGGGCATATTTGGGACCGTAGGAGACAGAGGCCAACAGCAAGTGGCAACACAGTGGCAGAGGAAGAAGACAGCCACAGTCGGAGTTTCAGAGCCAAGTGAATGATGAAGTCAGGCAGCTGCTTTCTCCTGGGCTGCTTCTAAGCAGCACAGTTGATGGAAGGAAGGAGAAGCCATTGGGTCCAGCACCCCTGACAGGTCTGCCTTAGTGCAGCAGAGGAAGCTGGGATGGAACCAGCTTATCCTCTATGTCCATCTGCAGCAGTGGGTCCTGCTCAGGGTGTAGCGCAGGGGCGGGCAATTATTTTGGGCAGAGGCCCGCTTACTGAGTTTTGGAAAGCGATTGAGGGCTGCATGACAGGCAGCCAGGGGAAGATAAATATTAATTTTCTAAATTTTTTAGCAGCCCTGCGGGCCAGATAGAACAGCTTGGTGGGCCACATCTGGCCTGCGGGCCGCATTTTGCCCACCCCTGGTGTAGCAGGAGGTATCCATACTATGCACCCAGCCTTCTCCTTGATGATGATGTTTGCCAAAAAAAGGGGGAAGGTGAGCCCCTGTGCCCAGTGCCTTAAACAGCAACTTATTGCTGTCTCTCAGAGATAGCTCAGGGAAATTAAATATAAATATTGGATAACTATCCTTCTTACCAGGCCGCTTCGATTTTTTTTCTGTTAAATGAGATGCTGTTTGAAAACCTGCCAAGCTCCTCAGAACACCTTTGGAGCTGGCAGGATTCAAACAGAGCACCCGGGCAACCCTGCCGGGGTGAGCATGAAACTCGGTGACCTTCTGAATCGAATGTCACCTTCCTTCTAGGTTGGCTAATGGGCAAGTTGTGGGAGATGCCAGTTAAGAAAGGGGTCGGAGAGCTCAGCTAGACTCAACAGTTAATGTGTCTGCAGTTTTCTTGTAGGAATGTCTGTGAGAAAAAAAGAGGAGAGTGGCCAAAAAAAGAAAGAAAGAAAAGAAAGGACTGTACTACAGGGAAACAGCATATAGAGAGCAGGGTGTGATGGCAATGAGGAGAACAGGTGAATAGTTGAGTGTGATAGATTTTCCAGGCTGTTATTTCTTCCTTATTGTATCACTCCCACAGGGCGATGGGGGACCTAGTTATAGACATGCTGGAATTACCCTTAGATATCTTACATAATGTCACATTTTGGATCCAGTCGACCCTAACAAGTGCTGTACCGGGTCTCCTGAAAAGGAGCTTGCTGTGGTCAGCCTATAGGTGCTGTGTTTTGTTTCTCTTTGCATATTGGAAGAATGGCTACAGCCATCTTGATGATAACTTCGAAGCAACCCAAAAAGCCGTGTTGTGCGGATTCAGAATTCCACGAGACGGCAGGAATTCTGGTAAAAATGTAGGATGTGAAATACCTCTGTCCTTTTCTCTTCAGGACCATGGTCCTCTTTCTTGGGATGGCAAGGAAATCTTCTGTAAATGAAACGCCCATAAAACACATTCCATATTTTGAGCTTGGCCAAATATATGGGTATATTTTCAGTACCAAGCAAAAAAGAAGCAATCTTGACATTACCATTTAATAATGACTTATGCCTCTAATTAAGCACAGAGATATTTGATGCCTAAGTACCTATCGTTTGATTCGCTAAAAATTCCCAAATAGCAGCTTAGGCTTCTTATGTTTTCCAGTAAATGAAAACGATAATAGCCTATACCAGCTGATTCCTTTTTTGGTCCTAATGATATTCCTTGTCCTGTACCATTATATTTTGGTTCAGATATCTCACATGCCACATAAACACATCCGTTTTTCAGTTAAGATGATATCCCCTTATTAGATTGTCAAAGAGAGCCAAGACATCAAGAACTTTCCAGAGGGCAAATGCAAGGTTAGTGCAGTCTGTCTGAATCTGAGTGGCATTTATGATTGTATTCAGTACTTCTATGCTCAGGACCTCATAGCAGGATCATTTGCTGGGCAAGAGAGGATGATCTTGCAGCTTTTCTAGAGCTGTTTTCACTGTGGTATATAAAGCAGACAGTAATATCAATGGGAAAAAGAGTTTTGCCAATACATCTGTGCCATGGTAACATGAATAATGCATGCTCTCTCATCAGTGTATAGCTCTGATGAAACCACTATGTTGGCAGAAATGGGCCTGTTACAAATGGAGGCATTGAGCCTAATTCTCCCCTCCTTTACAGCAGTGCATTTCTGTTGACATGAATGGAGCTATGCTGACTTTGGCCGTTTGGCTTTTGGAGTTGTTTCTGGTTGGCGTTGTTGGAGCTCTTTCTGATAAAACCTTGGTTCTTATCTTTTTTAATGAGATACTGATAAGATACCGATTAAAACGCTCCTCTTATCTGACAGCTAGCATGATTTTCTTGATGGGGCCATCTGCATACAGGGCAAAGGGTACAAAAGTAAGGTAGCTCTGACATTTCAACCTAATTGCAGCATACACAGGAATCCATGTAATATTTTCACTGCTGTGCATAAGTACTCAAGCATTACACCGAGGAAATATATGCAGCCCTGGCCTTTTGCATATTTGGGTTCTGAGGGAAGATTAGAGCAGCTAATTAATACAGATTCAACTATAGTAACTTGACATTCATGAAACTGGGACAAAAAAGAGAGGAATTAGCACTGACAAGTGCCCAGGCATTAATCATTCTTCTTGTTTTATTTATCTTAACAAAAATCTGTTTTTCTCTATTTTTTATCCAAATAAGCAAATCCAGTCTGCTAATATGAACAAGACTGGGCAGAGTTGGTTGAAAACCACAAATAAATGTCTGCCAATAGTGATATAGATATAAATATATAGAGAGATTTTAATAATTATTGTGCCCGTGCCCCTTTTGTGTCCACTTTTTGTCAACATAAACACAACTGTGTTTCACTGGCGCACATGTTCACGGAAAATGAATGTCAAGATTGTGCACCTATTTTTAATTAATATAATTTTAATTTTAATTCTATTTTTATTAATATAATTTTAATTTTAAATCTGCATAGAAGAGTATAGGAAGAAGATAGGCCTGTGCACTCAGCCAATCGGAAACAAGTTAAAAATGCCATGTGATCAACCTGACTAATCACAATTAACCAACAGAAGTTTTGAGGGCAATATTCCAAGAAGTGCGTATGACCGATACAGAGAATTAAAAAAAATTGTGAACTACTTTCAATAATGTACACATCTAAGAAAACTGTGATCCCGTCACAGATGTTCAACCAATAAAAGGTAATTGAATTCCTTATTTAAATAAGCCACGGTGAATAATTTGCTTACATCTAATACCAGGTGCGAGATTTTTTGGTTGCCACATAATTTTAAAAGCAACCGCCTTCTGTTATACTCTGACATTTTACATGCTGGACCCTTCCACTTCCTGATTTTTATAACATCACAGTCAATTAAAACGATATATATATAGTAATCAAATTGCTTATCTTACCTCAATTTCCTGATAGGAGTTGTTGATCATGGCTATTAACATATTAAGAAGCACCACCACCATGGTAACGTTATAAACTCCATAGAGAACATATCCAATATTTTCAATAAACTTATGATCGTACTTCAGCACCACTGATATCACTTCAGACAAGCCAAATATTGACCAGAATAAGGTTTTAAAACTTTCTTCTACCCTAAAAATAAAGCAAACAATCATTTCACAGCGCTGTCTCCAGATCAGCAAGGCTCAGTGTTAATAATGAAAGTGGCGCTTTGCCAATATAAATAGGATATCTCTGTGCAGTCATTGCCCATCATTATTCATCACTCTGTGGACTGCCAACTCATATTTCCTGAACTGATAAAGATATATAACTTCCTAACAAAACTATGCAATGATAAGACTTCTTTATCTGCCCCATCTGTTTTTCTCCTTCCTATTACCTATGAGCTAGACTATAACAAGCGCTCCCCATCCATGAAGGAGGTTGGGAACACCCTACATGACCAGAGAGAAATGAGCCATGTAGAATTTGAGAACTTGCATGGAAGGGCTTATGCACAATAGTTACCCATTTACGTTCTCTCCAAAGCAGGTCAGCATAGGATGCCTAGGAAAGGGAAAGGAATGGGTAGGCAGATGCTTGATTAGAATCCCCCTGTTTCTGGTTGGCTTCCCAGGGTTCAAAGAATGGCAAGAAAGGTGGTGGGAAGAGTTTAGAGGCAAAAGATCACCCAGGGTGGTAAGGTAGGCCCAGACAGACTTGTTGTAATGATCAGTTTGGGGCTTACTGATTAAAAGTGGACCAGAAAGATGCATTGGAAAGGAAGATGTGAAGGAGAGGGGGAACGCATGGACTAAAACAGTGTCAGGGAGAGGAGGAATTGTGAGGAGGATATGGGAGATGTCAGATGGAGACAAAGCTGAAGTGCCAAAAGGGGTAAGGAGAACATGCCTGGATCCAAAGGAAGAGGGGATGATGAGAAGAGACCCAGGGTCTCTCCAAACCCCGTGGTACTTACAACGGAGGTTGACTACATGTTTCCAATTGGTACTGTGGCCTAATCCTGACAAGTCCATTGATAAAGTAGCTAGGAGAGACTTACCACAAGTTGCCCTAAGGAACCAGTAAATTTGTACGTGAGCTCTGCTGTCGGTCCCACCCTTTATAGCAGCACAAGGCATTCATTTCTATCATCTGAAGCACAACGAAGAGCACTGGACAGTGATTACACTACCTACAGCAGCAGCAACTGGGCATTATCTTTACCATAACCCATTATACCAGCTTCTCTCATTCGCATACACCAGTAAGGTACTTATGCACTTTATGTACGACATTGCCTGTGGGTGCAACTCCACTGGCTTCACTCCACACCAGCAATGGTTCAGTCTTTGGAAGCTGTTACACAGCAATTAAGCACTTCAATCACAGGGCCTTTTCTTTTCTGTTTTGCTGCCATGTTACTCAAAGAGGTCATGTTGCTTGCCAATACACATCAGTCACTCTTTTCATTTACATTGTATATACACCCTAGAAATTACGTCATCGATGGATTCACTTCAGGTACCTGTGGGGCAGAGTTTCTGGGTTCAGACGACTCTTGCTATCACGTCATTTTGAGCTAGCAGGAGACAGCACTTTTCCCTTTGGCAGCTATTTCCCCTTGTTTAAATACTCCCACTTTTGTTCTTTGCATTGAGATACAATGAATAGTAACTGCCATTCATAGGCCCAAGTACTTAAATAATACAGGCCAATGTATAGTCCATTAAATATTGTATTTTTCATTTAAATAACATTTATAAATCCTAAATCACTGGCTTTGAAGCCCATCATCCAAGTCACTTATCAGGCTAATAAAAGGTTGTAGCCACCAACCTTGATCCCTGTAGCACCCTACTATTAACCTTCTCTTTTAATTTGGAAAGGCTCCATTTGTTTTCTCCCCTCCAGGCATTTTTTAATACAATGTGTCAACTCTGCTCCTTTCCCCCAGCGCCTGTTCTGGATTGTTGCCATGTTCTCTCTGAAAACTTAATTACTAGCTGCCCACGGCCCTGGCAGCACAGGTGCTTTGCAAAGCAGAGATTTCCTCTTCCAAGGTGAAAACAGACCAACTTATTCCAACTGCGCATTTCAAGGCTTTTGATAGTTTCCCACAATATTTTTGCTAACAATCTAAGGAAGTATGGGTTGAATTAAGACCTGGCTAGACAAAGCCCTGACTGGGATGATCTAGTTGGGGATGGTCTTGCTTTGAGCAGGGGTTGGACTAGATGTGACCTCCTGAGGTCCCTTCCAACTCTAATTTTCTCTGATTCTGATTCTACGTACATACCCATAGCAAGATGGTGATATTTTCTTCACTGCGATGTTGGAAAATAATGCTCCTGATGGCACCCCAAGTGGGGATTCAGTGGTTTGGCATAAGCAGTAGGGCCACTAAGGTTAGACTTGGCTCCAAATCCAGGCTTTTCCCCAGAAATGTTTGCATGTGGGATGTTAGTTGAACAGTGGTGCTGATATGCTGGAAGAGGTTGAGAAAAGTTCCCAAAAGGCCTTTATTAAGTTACAGCAAGGGAAGTTTAGGTATGATGTTAGGAAAGACTTTCTCACTAGGAGGGTAGCAAAGCACTGGAACAGGTCACCCAGAGAGGTGGTGGAAGCTCCATCCTTGGAGGGTTTTAAGGCCCAGCTAGACAAAGCCTTGGCTGGGATGATCTAGTTGAGGATGGTCATGCTTTGAGCAGGGGTTGGACTAGATGTGACCTCCTGAGTTCCCTTCAACCCTCATTTTCTAGGATTCTATGAATATTCTGTCACTAAATTGATCACAAGGTCAGAATAACATTCCTGTTTCTCAGAGAGCCCATTGCCTTTCTGCATAGTGCTGACATTGCACAGTTCCTTAGCACAAGCTAAGGGGAACATTACTTTTGTTACAATTTTGGGAACACATCACTAGAAAGAGGGACTTGGGGGCCAGGCTGTGAAAGTTTCTGAGGCTCAGCTGTGTTGATCCAATGTCATATTTTCATTGAAAGTGGATTTTGCTTTGGTTGCCTCATTGCCCCTCATGTCACCTGCTAAACCCCTTCTCTTTTTGGATGCTGCACCTTGCAGCTGGTTCTGGGATGAAAGAAACAGAACTGTCGTCGGGGATGTTATTTGAATCTTCTGTTTTGAACCTCAGGGTGGAGCAGAAGCCAGTGAATGCAGGAAGGGCCTGTGCTATCTTGGACCTACCTAAAGAAGGGAAAGACAGTTGGCTGTGCTGCGATGAGGAAAACCAGTTGGCTGAATAATATTTTGGACAGCTGGAAGAAACAATGAAACCTGGAGAGCTGTTTCCAAAGAGCACTGGAGTGCAAGCAATTGCTTTATGAAACGGGGAGGAAGGGATGCTGATGCTAGTCCAGCCCTTGGGAGACCCAGGTCTGGTGTCTGGTTCCTCCATGACCTGAGCAGTGCCTGAGGAGGTCCAGTGTTCTCCCCTCCCGTGCAATCCTTACCCTCTGAAATCCCTGAGAGTTAGCACTTAGATGCTGTTAAAAATCCCACGCTGCACCAAAGTGCATCTTTATGCCCTTAAATAGCTTTAAAAATCCAGTCCTTGGTTTCCCACCTGTAGGAAGTACCTACTTCCCTATGTCCGGGGGACACTGTGAGGATAAATACATTCAAGATGTGAGAAAACCAGATCCTCTGGCATAATGCCCAGATCCTCAAGGTCTTTAGTTGAAATCAATCGGTATGAGGTGAATAAATAGCTTAAAGCATCTGGGCCATAGCGAATGGTGAGAGAACGACATTTAAAGTTGTAATCATTCAAAAGTCATGTCCTGTGGCTCTGTTGTACAAAACCAAGATTATTTTCCATCGGTCACCGAAAGGCTAAAAACGAACTCTGGAGGAACTACTTCTGGAAGAGTTGTAATCCCGTATCCAGATGAAAACATGGTAAAACTGAACCTCCCTATTGATTGATTGGGGATTTCAATATCCAGCAGTGAATGCAACTCCAGAACCCTGCCTTCTCGTGAGGCAGGGAAATGTTTTACCTATTTTACAGATGAATAAAGAACCAAACCACCATGTACTGTATCCAGACTGGTACAGTAAAGATTGGAGGAAAGAGGATCTGAAACCTGGATGATGCCATTTCCTGGTATGGCTCCCACACTACTCCCTATCTCCCTTGTTACAAAGGATTTGAATGCACAGGAGACATTTCCCCCTCGGTGCACACATCATTCCCATAAGACAATTTGATGCTTTTGCAGTGAGTGCCTCAAGAATGCGTGAGATAATATAACTGCAATGGACTTTGATACACTATGCACTACTTCCTTCTCCATCGGAAGAGATCATCACACAACCCTGACTTCATGGAAATCTCTCCTCTATTATTTCTCTGCTGATTATCATAGGTCACGATGCCTTCCAATTGAGCTTTACTCCACAAACTGGAAGCACTTTAACACTTCCAAAATAGCATGTAATAAATAATATATAAAAAGGAGTACTGAAATAATGCCAAAAAACCCCAAATCTCCAAATAACGATGAAAGTGAATGATAACTCGGACTTTTTAGGTAGGGGAAAAAATCCTCACATACACTGTAGACTTCAACTGGATTTGTGATGCAGAAAGCAGGACAAATGTTATCAGTCTTGCTTTCAGTTCAATTTTATTTGTACAGCATGTTCTTCATTATGGGCTCTTTCAAGACCTGAGTTTTGTACACAGCAGAACACAAACAGATACACACAATGAAGGACTGTTTGGCAAGTTGCATGCTTCCCAGCAAGCTTTCTTTCTGCATTTCTAGATGTGAGTTAGCTGAACAAAGTCAGTATTTAGCTGTCTAAAATTAATTCTCAGCAAGATGCACCTTGTTTCTTCTGCAAAAGGCATATGTAAATTCAAGTGACAAGAGCATGCTTTGCATGCTACCTCTGGTTCATAAATCAGTGATATACTAAGGTCCTCACACTGCCATAACACATGAGATTTGGAAAGCACAGGTAATCAGTAAGTCACACTGAGCATTCACTGACCATTACGAGCCTAGCTAAGAAAACTATTCAGAGTCAACCATGTTTGGACAAATTGAACCTCTTTTTCTGCTTACAAATTGCCCCTGGAAAGCTCTGATTATTCTGAAATGCTTCCAGCTTTTAGAACT